ATATTTACTATATACTATACTTTCTATACATTCTTCTATATATGAGTTGATATAGTTTATAAATTTTCAAAATTGCGTATTAGTATCAATCTCTCTTATTAAGATTCTTATTAAGTCTTATAAGCGCTGTAGATAGAGCAATAGAAAAAGGTAACTCAGGATTGAGGGAACAATTCATGTGTTCAATGTATATTTACAATATTATCTGATAAAGGTACAGCGCTGAATATCGACCCGTATAGGTTTGCGTATAATCTTGGTAAAATGCTGTTTTGTGTACTTTATACGTAGGAAAAATTTGCACGCCCGATATATAATTTATTTCTCTTTTTTTTTTCTTTTTTTTTGTCGTAGGTTCTTTTATATGCATCTGTATAAAAATCTATTGAAGGTCCCTCGCGCGGGAGGGCGCACGCGGAAACTGAAATTGTGCTGAGGACTGTTGATACAGATTCTCGCATTCATCAGCGGAAGAGGATCACGCAACCTCGTATATACGATAGTCTTGGAGAATAAGATCAAACTCTTGCGGGTTCTACGGTGTTTCGCAACGCAACGTAACGCAACGTATAACGCAACGCAACGTAACGCTAGGTATCCTGTCAATATATCGTATTGCATATTGTCAAACAAGTCATTGCAATTCGAAACGTTGTATTGGGCATGGATTGAGTACTACCAGCTCGAGATCGTAAAATCCGACTATTGCAACGCAATATTGTACCGCGTCGTGAAAAAAATCATGTCTTTACAGGTATATCTTATATTCAATGCGATACTTTTTTCTTTTCTTCTTTTTTTTCATCTTGTTTCATTCGCCAAGATCAAGCGACAGATAATACAATAACGTAACTTACGTTACGGCGTCACTATCACAGTGTAATACAACAATTTGCTAAGAATAGTAGCATACGCGGTACCTATGAGCAGAGGGTAGTTTCACTACCAAAATCACGAAACTGCAAAGTACCAGTTTCGCCTAACGATCTGCAATTATAGAAAATATTATATGGTGTAATTTTATCACACAGTCATTACAAAGAGACAGCTGAATTGGATTTTCTAATATCGTTTGATTGTTTCACTAATTGCAGAGCACCGAATAAACTTTACGCGGGATTTATGATCCTGGGAATGCGGCATTTTTAAAAAGCCTCTAACTGTACCTCTTTTCCAAAGATTACCGTTAAAAAAACGCCGTAAATTATAGCGTGAATTCTAAATTTGAAGAGAACATCTTATTGCCTGTTTATAGAGGGCACGTAGACTTTTATAAAGCCCATAAAAGTAATTTACAAAATGTTATAAAAGATGGAATATATACGTATAAAAAAATAAAGGAATGTTTTTCTCTTTCTCTCTCTCTCTTTCTTTCTCTCTTATGGCCAATAAATTTTGCAATGATATTTACAACAAAAAAAAGATAATTAAACGCAGTTCAATGCAGGATCGATCTTATCTTATCTGTAATTTGCAATTGTTTGATTTCTCGATCATTCCAGTTATCTATCTTGTTATAAAATATATCAAGTATTTGATATTCATATTCATCGATGGAAATTTGAACATTTGATAATTATGACTCAATAAATATATCAATGTAGAAGTTTGTGATGTAAGATTCTATTGACACAATCTGCTGCTAGACAGACAATTGTTCAAAATGTGATAAGCTTTTTACATATAATCAATTTTAAAGTTATTATATTGTAAAATAATTAACGAATATTACGTAACGTTTAATATCTATTTCGTTCATCTATCTTCTTTCTTGATGAAGTAATGTCAATGATAATGCAATGTAATAATAACTATATATTCTTAAGTGAGTCTTTGTATGATAAATTTAATGATATCCTCATTTACATCGTTCACATTATTCGCAACTCACTGAATAATATAATTTCATAGCAGCTCTTTTACTCGAATAAATTTTCAATAATGAATATATCATGATTTGCGTTTTTGCTCTTGTTCTCTTTCTCTCCCTCTCTCTCACTCTCTTTCTCTTTTACAATACTACGCCAATACAAGAATCTGTAAGAGCAAATGACTCTTTTCAAGTTGTTTATATGCACAACATTTTTAAACAGAGATCCGTGCTTCGTTGAAAACAAGATCGAACAGAATGTGTCATTGTAAAAAATATTGGCTTCCTATTCTAAATGTTATACGCAATATAAAAAATTTAAAATTTAATAAAATTATAATATATATAGTTCTAATACTAATTTTTTAAAATCTATTAAATTATTTTGTGAACATATTTATTTTTCTCTCGAGATTATAATCAAGTTAAAAAATCTTTTGATGTTTGATACTTTGTTGATAATTTTATAAGAAAATATCATTGTAAAAGATTCTAAAAGATTTATTTGTGTGAAAAGTCAGTAATATTTAAGATATGATAATAATATGTAAACGGTCAAGGCGTATGCCATATAAAATAACTCAAAAGCAATGATATTAAATTAGTCATGATATAGAAAATATCAAAATAATTTTTGCAAATATATTATTACATGGCAAAAATAAATATGTACGTGAAGAATAAATCTGAACAATGTAAATCTAAAGTAAAAAATTACTATTAAATTTTACTTATTGTAAATTTTAACTATTAGAACTTGTTTACATATTTTTATTTTCATAAAGATCGTAAAATAAATAAAATATCTTGTTTGAGAAATATAAAAGCAATTTGTTCCGAGAAATTAAAATAATTTATATTTATATGATCATAAAATATTATATAATTGTCGATTCTTACTAATATATTGATATAAAAATTTGAATTTGATCATTTCATGGAATTAAAAACGTTCGAGTATAAAGGTAATAAAAAAAATAAATATTTAACTTTATCCAACTATATTGGGGAAAAGTGCTAGAATTAATCGTGTGATAAAGAGAGTTACAAAGAATAGGAAGCCAAGTTGTAAGGTTTATGTAAAACGGTAATATTTATTATCTTTATACTCATCTAAGCCATTAATTTAGAATTTCACTCACACACACATTCAAGCATTTGGCAGGCAAGAACCGAGAAAATCTAATTCAGAGAGAGCATTACTACGAAGTCATCATATCATTGACTGAATTTGATATATTAGGTCCTTTTAGGGCATCATTAATGTCCCTCCTAAACATTGATAAATTTTGTGTGAACCTGCAAAAAAAGAAAACGTCAAAATGTTTAAAGAAATGTTATATTAGAATACATATATTAGTTTTCTTACCTATCTCTATTTTTTGTGAGTAAATTTCTCTCAATGCCGTTCATTAAATTTTCAAACCATTGGGCCATCGCTGCTTGTTTATCAACTGGTTGACTTCTAATAATATTTTCTCTTAATTGATTAAAATACTGCAAAGGATATTATATATATAA